AGGAACAACAACACCCAAACGCATCGAGATGGAGCTTAGAGGTCGCGCGTCTTGGCGTAAATCGTAACTTCCTTGGCGTACTGCGCGAGGCCTTTGTAGATTTCCTGGCCGCGGGTCCGGATCGTCGAGGCCGGCGCCACAAAGTCAGTGCCCTTCATCTCGATCGTGATGGACGGCACGTTGTACGTGCGGAAACCATAGTCTTGAAACGTATGGTACGCCTTGTACAGAAGCTCGTACGGTCGCCCCGACTTGTAGCCGCCGAGGGCGCTTCCGAGGCGCGTGCCCAACGTCTTGAGCTTTCCGTCGACCGGCAGCTTGTCTTCGGTGTCGCCAACCGGAATCAAGACGAGGCCAGCGTACGAGTGGAGATCAATCAAGCCCGCAAGGTATCCCTGCGGCTTGGAGCTGAGCCATTGGTGCAATGTGCGGCTTTCAACTTCGCTGAGCGGGCGCGGGCCCGGGTAGTCGTCGGCCGACGGCAAGGGCGGGCGCGGGTTGTCAAACGGACCCGGGTAGTTGCGGTTGAGGTCGACGCCGTTAGCATTCTTGCGCTGGTAGCGAGTGCCCGACCACGTGAGGTCGTACCCGTCGCGGTTAAAAATCGGGACCACAATCACGTCATAGTCGTCCGTGACACTGGGAATCTTGTTGTAAATGTCGTCGAGGAGCTTGGAGGCCGTGTAAAAGTTGGACGAACCAGCGACCCACTCGCGAGCGTGGATGAGACTCTGCACGTAAATCGCTTGCTTCTTGGGTGGTCCGTTGCGCAGCGTGTAGGCGTAGACCGTTTGGCCGCGCGTCGTGTTGGCGATCGGCTCCTTGAAGACGTTACTTGGGTTCTGCGCCACAAACGTGTTGAAAAGCTCGTCGATCTGGGCCGCCGTGCGAAAGCAGTTGTGGAACGCGGACTCGACGTACTTGCCTTGCGTGAGCGACGGAATGTAGTTGGCGTTTTGGAGGTGGCACTTGCGGTTCACGTCGGCGTCGTCGGCGACGGCTCGGAGCTCCTCTTGCGTGCGCTCGCGGCCATCCGGGAGCTGGCGAAAGATGGCGGCCGACGCCGAGGCAAGGCACAAGAGCACAGTCGTGAGCTGCATGAGGCAAATTGGAAAATGAGCTCCAACACCAACGATGCATTGCCGATGGAAGAAGAAGGTGTGTGTTTCTGACGCGACACAGATTGCTTGGGGATCAGCACAAAGGTGAATCGTACGATGTTGTCTGTTGTCTGGGTCGGCGAGTAGCCGTGTCAGAAGACTACGAGCAAGCAATTCCGATCTTCTCTTCATAATGACGTGGCGATGGGAGCGACCGACATGCAGATGCGACATACTGGACGCATACAGAGAGAGCACGGTGGGAAGGACGCAAGCACGACCGAAACCAGAGAAATCTGGTTGGGTTGTATGCAGCTGCACACTTCTGGGAACACAAATGTGGTTGACTGGATGGAATATGGAACGAAGAAAGAGGATCGTGGTGCCGGTATATCGGTAATTGGTGTCAAACGACGAAAAGTATCTGAAGAGAGCGGTTTGGCACATCTGATACGACGGCCTTCTCGCAGTGTTATCAGACGTGCATCAGGCGGGCTTACTCCGGCAGATTTGAAATTTCCGGGCTTAAAATGTTCAGGTTCCATTCGTATTATGGCGCTCCTCACAGCCCACGTACGGCTTTATAGAGGGAGATCTGGGAACGGTTGCACTCGGCAGATTCTGCCGTTTGCTACCCTTTGCCCGTGGAGGACCACACCAGCAGTGTACTACATTTTGCTCGCCGTCTTGCGAGTACAGTATCAGATTGCGCCCAGCTCAGGACTACGCCACCACGAGCACATTGTGTCGGTGCTCATATCCAGGACCAAGAGCTGGGTCCAAGGGTGGTTGTGGCGCATCGCCACCGACCACTAGACAGCGCTTGACGCTCTCCCCACCGACTCTATGCTACGCTCTTGTAGCAGATGCTATGAGAGAGTTCTCCAATTTGCTATTACGTATGGTGCCTGCCAACCGTCCGCACTCGATTAGTCTCGCACTAGTAAAGACCATATTACGGACTCCCGGTGTTCAAGGGTTGAGGACTTTAAAACACAGCGTACGCAATGCCGCTAGAATTTCGTCCTGTTGACGGTGCTTGGTGCCGAGGTTCTCGACTTGCGCCGGCGAGATCTCGGTCGTCGCGCTGACAAGCGCACGCTCAATCCCCTTCTTTTGTCGTCAACGATGTTGAAAATAGTGTTGTACTACCATAGCATGGCTCGCCTTCATTCCGGCCTGAACACCAGGCCCGGGTGTTCTGGCCGGAACTGCCGGTGATGCAGCTGCGTCACGTTTTCGAGGCCGCGCGCCACGGGCAAGCAACGGCGTCCCAATTTCTCGAGACGGAAGGAGCTCGTAGAACCAGAGCCAGCGACGCTGCGCGCGACGCAAAATACACTCGAGAAGGTCGCGCAGCACAACAGCCGTGTGATCAACGGCATGAGCCT